TGTCGCGCCCGTTAATGACGATGTCTTTAAGTCTTAGATGGCAACAGTAGACAACGTAAAATCAAAACTAGCCATGAATGTGTACGGTTTCGTATTCTGAGTGTAGCCCGGTGACCCAATCGACGGGCTAATGCAATTAAAAAAAGCCGCGTCCACAGCCGCGCGCGACGAAGCGGCATATTACGATTGTTTTGACCGTCTCCCGACGCGGCGTCGGTACCCCTCCTGGACCAGGTATGACCCCTTCACTGCTTTGAGGGACTCCCATGTGCCCTGGAAAAGAACCAAGCCTGAGCGGGTCTATATAAGGTGATGGCACTTCACGCTTGATCCTCGGCTGAACACTGCCCATGCCCTGCCCATCGCTAAGTGACCAGCGCCGACAATAGCCATTGATCGAATACCAGCTGTACGTACATATTCCATTTAGTAGCGCATTCTATCGCATTGTTGAGCTGCGGCGCCCACTCGGATTACGATGATAACATTTTCGTTCAGCTATTGTGGGTACAAGGCAAATTTCACAACCAACGAATCCGCAAATGATGGCAATACGCCGATGCCTGACCAGCTCATTCAGGCAAATCTACGAGTGGCGTCGTGCGATTCTAGTGCAAACTGTACTGATAGTAACACTCGCCACAGCCACCACGTTTATGCCCGAGCAGCAGCGTGTTACGTTACAGCAAGCGATCAACGTTTTTCGTCGTCTGAAACAACGTACCACTGAAGCTCCCTTCTCTGACTCAAGGATGGCATGGCGAAGCAGCGGTCGCACTAACGACGAACTCGTACAGAATCTCGAAAGTGAGTTCATTATAGTGTATCAGTAGCGTTACATTCTGTATAAAAAGATCGAAATACCGCTTTTGGAGCTATCTTGACCTTTGAACTTTGAAACAGGGCTAGTCAACAAACGATCGGGCTTAACTGGGCGCACTGATGCTGTACAAATACGAAACGGGGTTCGGCTTAAATCAGATTAGACTGTCTAGGTATGTGGAATGCCTCTATTTCCTTGACAAATGGTAGTTTCTTATTGGAGGCTAATAACCAAGTTCAGACTCCTAATTCAAACAACTGTAGAACCATTTACAGTCCTGTTCGCTGCGGATGTGTCAAGGAGGAGGGGATGAGTTTTGCGCGGCGCGAACCTGTCCGCCTTCCATCAGTTTTGCCGCTTGCCCTCCTTAAAGGCACGTCCGCGACCAGGTATAGTGGAAAAATAGCGTCGGTAGGGTAGTGCTGTCCATGACGATCAACACTGCACCAAAAAATTGTAAGGTTGGGGCGCTATTTAGGTCCAGTGACACTTCCTTTCTTCCAGTGACTCCGCCTTCCAAGGCTCCGCCGCTCATCGCTGCCTTTCATTTGAAAAACGAACTCTGCAAGGCGAAAAAAAACAATGAAAATCGGTTCGTCAAGAATTTCTTACAGGGGGATCAGCTTGTGCGAATGGGCTTAGTCTTGGAGACGGAGTTAAACAAGGCTTCGTTACAACTGGCAATTGAAATGCGGGTTCTAAATCTATGGACAGTCTGGCATCGTTTTTTATAATCTGCTTTCTTCTTACTATAGACGTTACTTCATTGCCTTAAACAGTTTGTGGAGAAAGCGGGCTCCAGTTTACGTCGTTAACGCTGGGGAATCGTCAACACAAGATCGTTTTCTTCAACGAAAAACATTTTCGTTGTTATCGTTTTCCACAAGGGGGGGGGGCATTTTACAAAATCCTTCCCCCAACAACGTGCCCTGAACGGGATGACGGCCGCGCAATACTCGGTCCCCTGCCTGACACGCCCCAGTGTCTGCAGCGAAACGGTAACTGTGGACTGCTCGAGGCAATGAAAGACTTGAGAATTACAGAAACAAAAGCAAAACTTGTGCATTCACTTATCAAGATCACCGCACGTCCCAAAGGCACGGTCCGCGATCAGGTAGAGAAGTTAAGAATATGGTATTGGGAGGGTAGTGTGGTCCTGACGAACAACTTTGTACGGTTTTCGGCAAATAGTTGTAAGGGGGACGTTTACAGGGCATAGATTATCGCTGAGCCTCCTTACTCCAGTGATCCGCTTTCAAGCCGCTTTCAGTTGAAAAAAACGAGAGCTGGAAGGAGAAAAATCGAATGTCATTATATGTCGCGGTTCTCATCGGGGGATCAGCGGTCGTGATGAGGGCGAGCATGAGATGGAGTTAACTGGGCACGGTCAAACTGGGGTCGAAATGGGGTTCTATGTAGGGCAGTTGGAATGTTTTTTCTGATCTTTTCTTCGCTATCGAATTACTCAGCACGCTATCGTCTATATGCAAACTCCTAATCCCCTATCTGAATGATCGCGGGCTTTGCCTTTACCGCTCCTCAATCAGATATCTTATGCTGAGCATTACCCAGTCAGAGCGGGGGTTGTATTTGGTTAGCCGTGGGAGACCGATTAGATCTAAATAGGCCTTCGAGAAAAAATTTTTCCGTTGTTTGATTAATATTCTCCTGACGCTTCACCACCCTCTCCTCCCCGCTTGACGGCTAAAGACAACAGGGGATTGTGGTAACACCGCCGTTCATTTACCAGTGTCATGGAAATTGCATTGCCTAATTGGGTTTCACATAAGTCACACATAATCCAGAAGAAATTGCAGTGGAGACTTTCATAATGTTGTACTTTTTTGAGAAAAGTTTTTTGGAAACAGAACCTTCGCGAGAATAATTCAGTTTTGATCCGGCCTCGTAGAGCAAGCAACAATCATTATCAATTAACAACACTGAAGTACTAGTATTCCTGTTATTTAATTGTGCTTTTCCATGATTATTATTCGTTTAAGGAGGGCGATTATTCACATCGACACGTGTAGGCGAAGCTATGCGTGCAGTGGATCGAGCAGATTTTTCACCACGACAACCGTACATGGATCAACCAAAAGGATCGGATGGAATGCTACCATTTCCGCACCACATATGGTACGTTAGGGTAGTGCTACTGTAGGTCAAGTCTTGGGCTACTCGTGGAATGGGTTGCAAAGTTTGGCCCGACTTCTGCTACATAAGGCGTTAATGTGTGGAGCGTACCCTCGTTTTGTTGAAGGCAGCGCCCGCCTTCATTTGTGTTTCTACACCCTCTTTGGATATCGTAGCTCACCCCATGAGGATGGTGGACGTGCTAGTTTCGCCACTCAAAAATGCGAGAGAATAGCGGCGCCCGCTCGTGAAGAGTCGGCCACCCCGCCCACCTGGCGACCACTACGCCCAACTTCATTTCTAATGGTTGCCTGATGGTGCGGTTGTTCCGCTGCTGCTCTCTCCACTCGAATGGTGAGAGTGAGGTGATAAGGGAAAACAGCTGATACCAACAAGTGAGAACTCGTGCGGCCGCGCCTTCTCTTCGCCTCAAGCACGTACAACCTCAGCTCGGCGTGGGGTCCTATATAGGGCATATCCGATGATTTTTTTGCATTTTTCTTCACTAATGAACTACTTGCTACCTTGTTGTCACTGTCTAAGCCCCACAACTCATCAAATTGAACGCGGGCGCTGCCTTTAAGTCGGACTAGCAAGTCACGTGGTGTGAGGCTAATCAGGCATGCTTGAGTGGACAAACTCCCCCGCAGACGGAGGGGCTTTGAAAGGAAGTTTACTCGACGCACTAGTGACATCAAGTAACATCACCCTGTGACTTATGCCGCATGGATTACTGGCAGATCAACCAGATCCTCCGTCTCTCGCTACCTTCATTTTGCTGAAAGGCATAAGGCACGATAATTTGATACCTGGTCAAAAACAGTAGCAGGGGATGCTACATAGTGAGAAAATAGCAAAAAAAGAGGTGAAATGGTTCAAAATCTGCGGAAATAAATCTTCGTTCTTAATGACTCGAAGCATTTCCGTGCGAGTTCTCCGTAGACATCTTGCCAATAACCGCTACGGTAGATACAGCTGCACGTATGTACTCATATATCCATGCAGCACCACGGCCGCTTCATATCAATCCCTTCGCTTCATATTTTACTTTGCAAATGAAGCAATACGAGCATCAGGTAGGGTCCATTTGAGAGCAGGCGGGCGCGGTGGGCGTCCGAGTCGGTATGTTGCAGCTCGATAGGGCCTTATAACATTACTTGCTCGGGAAGGGCGCTACGCAGCACCTGCTCAGGGGCCCGGAATTCGCTCCTGCCAGGCATCGTGCCACCTGCCTTTGAGAAGCAGGACACGTCCTAAGTTGGAAATGCTCAGTGAAAAGGGTCGTCATTGGTCGTTGAAGAAGGCGGGGGGGGGGGTCATATTCGCTGCTTTTGAGAAAAATGATTCCAGTTCTCGACTTTTCTCGGTTGTTCCTTTTTAAAGTACTCTATATATCCTTTTCTCTCTGTCTGTCTCCTTCCCTCTCCTCCCCCTCTCTTGTCACTCCCCCGCTCGCCGCTCGACGGCAGTTTCAGGTTTTTTTTCTGAAAAAAGGTGAAGTTTCTGGGAAGGAAACTCCGGAAAAGTGAATGGCGGTAGCACCGAGGAGGAGGGGGGAGAGAGCTGGAGTCAAATTTTGCAAAAATCTCCCGTATGGCAGGGCGTGCCCTGTTACGAAGATGAAAGGTAAACTGACACAGATAAAGATGACTCAAACGAGACCTGCGAATTTTCTCTTCCAAAAATCGACCATTAACGACCCCTCCACCCATTATTTCCTGACGATTCCCTGGTGTCAACGCGAATTGCATGTGAATTACATGTAATCCCCTAAAATATGAGATGCGTGCCATTGCCATCATCGCTAGAATGTGCGATCCACCAAGAAATTGTTTTTCCGAGCATGATTAGCCACAGAGCAATCAATTATAGGAAAACAAACACGTCTCAGCTGGCTGTTCATCCTATCCTGCGAGTTAATCCGCTCTAGCAGCATCCCAGCTAGCTGGCTTCTCCATCGTATATCCCATTAATACGCTTGTGTGCATATCCATCTTTGGAAAAATCTAATTAGGTGAGCACCTACGTGAGTAGAATCTACTCACTCATGATTGAATGAGCTCCGTTGAGACGAATTTGGCCACCTACACGAAGTATCAAGGGTTCAGCAGCGAACAGTGTTGTTCACACCTCTTGCACTAACAATAAGTTATTCGTGAATTAAATGAAGAATTTCACTGGAACCTGAAAGGATAATTGGCTTCAGGCCATGAATATTTAGGGCACTTCATACGCTAGGAAACCCCCAGCGAGAGGGTCGCATTTAGTCGCTGTTTTTCCTGAGCTTTGGTATCCATGTGCACTTGGGGAAGATGGTGATAGGATAGGGAAAGGGGTCGTACAAATGAAAAAATTGGGGGGGGGAGGGGGAGTCATAGTTGCAAGAATTTGCCCTAGCCACAGAAAATTCCCTGACCCTGCGTATGATACCACCATTCAGGGTTACCCATTCGGTTGTCGAGCTGGTGTGGCCCTCTTCCAGCGCATCATGTCCCTCAGTGAGTCTGCGAACACCGGTACCGTTTGCTACTGCTCTCTATGTAGGGCAGAGGTGGTGCAGTGGGAATTGGCGTTGTACATCGCGCGTCCGGCACGGAGTTATGTCTCAGACAGGCTCCCGGCCGAGGCAACCTTCATATCGCTCAGTTGCCACTTTAGTCAGATCCGGGAAGGTGAAAAAAAATCTGTACTTTGATTGGAACTTGGTACACAGAGGTAACAGGATAATGAGACTATGGTGGCAGGTTCCTTTGAAGTGTGCTACCCACTCGACTTCCACTCAATGTTCAGACAGAGAAAAACCAGAATCGCCTGAGTTTTTCCAGGGTTTGAAGGGCTATCAAGACCATCAACTATAATGAGCCTGGGTGTTCACCTCGCCTGTGGTGTACTGGAACCCAAGAACTCCACCTTTGTAGCTGGGGACATGCAACGCTCCCGATTGAGCTACCACGTGTGTGGTTCTAAGGAAATGGTTTGGCCCTAGAAAGAACCTCGAAAGCACCCAATCGAATGCAATCTTCAAGACCTGTTTCTTAAGCCCCCACGACCGTTACCTGCACGTTGCAGGGATGAGAATCACTGGGTCATGTGATATGTGGGATACTGCTAAACAAGAAAGCAAATTAAGCCACCGAAAATGTCCTAAATAAAACCCCGGTGCCCTGTGAAACATATGAGCATACGGAATAGGCAGACTGACTGAAGAAAAGAGAAACAAATCACGGTATGACTAGAGAATATACAAACTACTGGGACCCCACTGCTATACAGCGGTGGTAGAACGAAATGATAGAGGTGTACCCAGCTCACTGGGGCGGAGTTATCTTATGTTCGCTAGGCCGTGGCGCCTTTAGCAGGCATTTTCGTTCTGCGAGAGTGGGACATATTTTGAGATTGCGAACTTATGCGAACAAAGAGCTTGTGCACGTCGGTAATCGCGGATGCCGGCTTTAATGAATCTGAATTCGAAGAGACGCATTGAATTTTTGGCCCATCAGGGACCTCGCTAAGCAGAAATCGATTGAGCTGCATTTATAAAGGTTGTTTGAATGCAGCGTGAGGAGGAGATCGGTTGGAGAAGTGCTGCAAAAAGATGATACTAGCCTTTGAGTTTATTCATACCCGTGGTAAAGGGCTGTCAAGTTGTGGTTAAGCTTTCGACGCTCAGGAGACCAAATGCTCAACACAATGGGATCTCAGGTTTCCGCTGGAGATACTTCAACCAGGAACCTACCGCTTATCGACGAGCACGTGCTTTTACCGACCAGGCGCGTGTCGGAGTTCTCATCACGAAACTTTAGGCTCCCTCGTAGGTTGTGATAGGCGCCAGGTCACTGCAGGCACGTAGTACATGGAATACCTGGCGCAGCTGAGCTGCGGGGCTTCGCTATATCATTCTGTTGTGCGACGATTCATAAGAGATGAGACCTAGCCATAAGTTAGTAACAGTACTTATGATCATAATAGTATTTAAGCAAAAAAAAACAAGTGAAAATGTGGTCTAGAGAGTTCTAGTATCCAATGTCTGATGAAAGCCGAAGAATCGTCAGTAGAAGCGAGTAGAGCAAATAGTTCCTATTTATTAATTTCTGGCCTGAGAATTTCCCACAAGGCTGTTTTCGAAAACAAAAAAAAATCAAATTCTAGAGGAGGTTCTAAAAAACATAAGAATTCAGTATGTTACTCTCCATTTCTTCGTATAGTCAAAGGGGGAGGAAGAAAATGCTCAGGGTAGCCTGACTATTTCCAAGCCAACCCGGATCTCATTTCTCCTAAGCTCGGGCAAAAACAGCTATCATAGTTTTTACGCCAAGCGCCGTCCAATGTCAGAAAAAAAAGTGGAAGGAATACCCAGGAAACGAAACCCGTAACAACTGGTAACTTGGAAGAACTGCTTGTGCAAAAAGAGGATTACCGTAAACCGACGGACTATTGCACCAAAAACCCTTCCTATATTAAGTTAGCACCAAAAGTAATTGAAGTTTGACATAATTGCTATTTAAGTCGGTACTTTCGATTGATTCTCATTACAACAGCTCCATTTTTGATTGGCTATCGTTAGAGTCCATGAGATAGGAGCTTATTGAAGAAATGAAGTTAATAGTGTTGCAGCGAAATAAGCAAAACGCGGAAACAAAGCGAAACATGAAAACAAAACGAAAAAAGGGAATCATAGCGAATGGCAATGTGCTGAAGTGGAGTCTCGGCAGCGGGAACCTAGCATTCTTGATGAAGTTTGTCCCGTTTTTCAATAGAGTTAGTGGAGCAATCGCGCTAAGCTCTCCTGTGGGAACAGTAGGTCATTCATTTAACATGCGTGACTCGTGCACTTTCCAGCAGGAAATATAGATAATGGTGGATGAGCAGCCCAAATTAGCCTGGACATAGGCTGTTTTCTTTTTTTGGGCAGTTAGCATGAAATGATCGAGAGGGAGGAAGTGTCACTTGCAGTTTGTGGTCTGGAGATGCCGATCACATTGCGGGGTTGTTGTCCACTTCTGCACTTACTCTTGTCTGAGCCCAATT